GGTTTTCCTAATTCTAAAATAGAATTAATTGATACAGTAGGAGATAGCAACCATTATCAAGTTAAAATCACTTCAGAAAAATTTAACAATCTTTCTAGGGTTAATCAGCATAAATTAGTGCATGAAATTTTAAAGGATTGCTTGGGTACTGATTTGCATGCACTCTCAATCCAAACTTTTAAAACTAATAATACAAACAGGTAATTTATGAATCAGAATTTACAAAATAAAATCAAAAATTTAATACAAGAAAATGATGTAGTTTTATTTATGAAGGGCACACCTGAGATGCCGATGTGTGGATTTTCTGCAGCTGTTGTAAATATTTTAAATATCTTAGAAGTTAAATTTATTGGCATTAATATTTTAGAAGATGAGGAATTAAGGCAGGGTATAAAGGAATATTCAGATTGGCCTACAATTCCGCAACTATATGTAAATAAAGAATTTATAGGTGGTTGTGATATTGTGCAAGAAATGTATAAGAGTGGCGAACTTCAAGAGCTGTTTTCATCAAAGTAGAATAAGATTTTTATTATCATTGCGGCCAAAATCTTTTAATGTTTGAACAATAAACCACTATGATATTTTGCTCTTTATAAACAAGAGCTAAGTGTGATTTAATGACAAACTTAAGCTAACTTAACCCGAACTGCAGATAAGAAATAAGAAATTTATAGCAAATCTTGTCACCATGAAGTGGATTATATATCTGGATTACCACGGATACTATTGTATCCTCGCAATGACTGTTGCTGTATATGTCATCACGAAGGAGGGACGAAGTCTCGACTGTGGTGATCCAGGGTTGTTGTTACATTTGTTGATAATTTCCTGGATTGCCGAGTCTGTCATATAATTTGTGTAAAAAGTGAACCCGGTATAGGGTAAAATAACATAAATAAAGGAGACAAAATGACAGAAAAATACAAAAATCAAATAGATGAAAAACTGATAGATCAGTTAATATCACAAATAGATCCGCAAGATCTCATAAAAAAAGACGAAATATTCTCAGTAATGAAGAAGAAGCTAGTAGAAAGAGCATTAGAAGCAGAAATGAATCATGAATT